TATCATGCATTGATTGCCATCACATACATATATATAAATATTTCTTGTAATTACATGGACACTATCAATTTCATAGTGAATCGAAACATAATACATTGAATTCACCAATTATATAAATCATAAATATTTCAGATATGTCAGGAACATATGTCACTATAATCCAGATAATAATTTGCTATGTCAGGGCATATAAATCCCAACACGTGGAACACTATCTTCTCATTAGGAATTGTTTTCTCCATTTCAAATTTTGTCACCACATTATGCATGAAAACAAGTACTTCCAGTCGAGCATACTCTTTTCCAGGGCACATCTGAGGTCGTCCACCAAAGGGTACAAAAGTGTACGGCGCAGGTCCACTCCTTTCAAATCTTGATGGATCGAACTTTTCTGGATTCGGGAAGTATTTAAGATTTTTGTGGGTTGAATGTACGGTCCAAAATGTCTGCAAAAAAATCAATTCCAGGTAATAAGCCATTAACTTTATGTCATGTGTTGAGTAATATAAATCCCTTTACATGCAGGTTCATATCCCTCCACATTAAGTTTTGATAAAGAGCAACGAGACGAAACTCGACGAATTGACATAGTTATGGCCTTCTTGGCTCCAACTATACAATTGTGGTGGGCCCCACAGCTATGTGAGACAACTGGCTGTCAGGTATCTGTCAATTTTATAATTTTCATTTGAAAAAAGTCCGAAGCAGGTAATCAAAATGGGATATTGATTTGATCAAATATCAAAACCCTTGGAATAATTGTTACATACCTTCCATCCCTTGGGAATTGTAAAACCAGCATATGTGAAGTCAGTTATGGTCTCTCTAAAGGCTCCTTGACCAGGAGGTGCTAGCCTCAGTGCTTCGCGCGCCACATTCCAAGAATACTTCATCTTCTCGATGTCTTCCCAACCTAGCAACTCTTCGGCGCCTTTGGACTTTGCAATCTCCATTTGTTCTGTCGACAAAAGCAAATCAATTTTGAGCTCAGAGATCAAACTTTTTAAGACAATGTTGAGTTTGGAGTTATTAGAATTTACCTTTGAAAACCTCACTATAAATGTGAGGAAGTTCTGCAAGATAGTTCAGGACAAAAGTGACTGCAGTACTAGTTGTATCATAGCTTGCAACTAGTAACCCTACAATGTTATTAGAAATCTCCATTTCATTCATGAACTCCCCATTTTCATCTGTCACTAATAGCATCCTGGACAACAAGTCTTTAAAGGGTGTCTCTTTGTTCTCTGTCAGCTCCTTCTTCCTCTGCCTAATGATCGCCAAAAGCTCCTTGCGAACCATTTTGCCCCCTTTGATGGCACCATTATAAGCTGTCCTGGGAAGGTCTATTGGCACGGAGAACATCCCCGATGTCACAAGGTTGAAGGGCTCAGCCAGCCTTGCCACATGCTCAGGATCCTCAATGCTCATGAACAATCTACATGCCAATGCAAACGTGTACTTCTTCGACATAGGAAGAACCTTCAGTTCCTTGTAAGGAGCCCATTCCGTGTCCAAATGCTGGCGTGCCATCGAGTCCATGATGGGGATGTAGTGCTTGAGAGCTTCCGGCCTCAGGATTTCGTGGAGGAAGCTGCGCTTCAGTGCTGACACTTCTTTTAAGGAGTCGTCGACAAAGGAAGGGAAGAGCAAGGCCTTTTTCATCGAGCGTGCCACCAGGAGGTGAGAAGCTTGCTCTCGTTTGAGAACAAGAACTTGTTCCCTGATGCGCCACAGAACACTGCCATTTGCTCTCCCTATAGGGAGGTTTGGAACACGTTCGGCGAGTACTTGTTCATTCTGTCGAATATGAATTTTTCTGGTCCCAAGGCAAACTCCATGCTTTCTCCTACTATAGGCCATCCGGTTTTACCGGGTGGAAGTTTTGAGCCACTGGGATTGCATTTGTGAGCTCGGAAAATGAGAGAAATTGAGACAGAGAGGACTACAATGGACAGCAGATATGAATAGAACACATCCATACTTGCTTTCTGATACTTTAAGACTACAAAAGGAAGGTGAATGTGTGTCTTTGCCTTTTGGAAACTTTGTTAAGAGTATAAATAGGCAAAAGGGGTCCAAAGTCCTTTTCTAAAATATACTTTGTGTGTCTTTTAGTGTGGCAGAGTGACAAACTAATAGAACAGAAAGAAGTATGTGAGTGTGTGTGTGTGTGCGCTTTTGCTTATGCATTTTTGTGTAATAGTATAGGAAGTTTAAAAGGTTCAGATTATGTTATTCCATTTTGACATTTTCTCTGGTGAATCATGACAAAACTTGGCATTGTCAATTTGTCAGCACAATGAGAATTCCAAAGGGTGTTTGGTAGTTTAACAAGATTATCTCACTGTCACTTTGTGTTTACTCTGGTGTGTGAAAATGAATGGTATATTGATTTCAATTTTCCATGCTCAGTGAGCTGTTTACACTTACAGACAAGATTGTTTAAGTTGGATAACTACATATTCTAATCGATTTTACAAATCGCGTTAGGTTGTAGTCAGATGAGATTAACACTAGACTCCATTCACTTCATCGAATGGATAAACATTATTTGACGACACTTCCTTCTTAATAAAAAAAATATTATTGTGCCCGTTACGCCGTGCAACGAGTGCATTCAATCATTCATTATCGACGTGTGTAATATTTGCGAGAACATCTATATTACACTAACGATCTAAATGCACTCATTAAACTGTGTAATAAAATTTTTCTCATTCTGGAATCTTGTAAATCTTGATCATGGAAAAGTTAGTTGGCTGGCAGTTTAAAACACGAGGTTGATTAACAAACTTATATATAAAAATGCACCCTTTTGTATGCTTTGGTGTGTGAAATGATTGTAATAGAAGAATTGTTATGAATTGAAGATGTGAAATTTCAAAGAAACTATTATTCACTTTTGATTATTTCATTACTTTATCTATTTATTTCTAGATATTTTGTCTGAGACTTGTTGGTAGAAGCACTTTACTAAAGGCTTTGATAGCACTGTATATGATGCATTTTGTTAGATCTCTCACTTTTTGATTGCTACTATTAATCAACGGTCATGTCATGAGGGACTAAAGAAACTCTCCTATCAATTAATATTTATTTGTTACAAAATGATCATACTATTATGATATTGGTTTTTCTGAAAAACTGGTGGCACCCTTGGTTTTATTTATATATGGGTAACGAAATGAATTATCTCAGATGTTAATATCATTATATATATATATATTCGTATATTATAATTTATAAAGGGTAAAGTACAGTCACATCCCCTGAAATTTAGCAAAAGGATACTAAGAAGAAACTTACCTGTTTTTTAGACAAAGATACCCCCTAAAGGTTCAAAAATGAACAAAGATACCCCTTTACATGAAAAATTGACCAAATTACCATTTGACCGTTTAGGAGACTTTTTTAACTTTACAATTTAATAAATTAGACTAATCTACCCTCATGAATAATTTATACATAAAAACAAAGTAAAAAAAAACTTTATATTGCTCACTTTTTTTTTTTTTTTTTTTTTTTTAATTTACTTTATAAATGTTCCAACTTCTTTAAAATGTAGACATCTAAAATGATTTTTTGATTCAATACATATATTTCAAATAAATTATATTTTGTTATTACTTCTTTTCTTTTTCTTTTTTATTTTTAAATTAAGATGCTTAATTCTTTCATCTAAAAAAATTAAACTAATCTCATTTCTTTAAAAATAAAAAAATGGTACCAGTATAACTTTATGCATCTTAAATTATATATCAAATATTATGCATTTCCCAATATAAAATAAAATAGGTACCATCTTAACTTTATGTATGCCTCTGTTTTTTTTTTTTCCTTCTTTGTTTTATTATTATTATTTTTCCCTTTTATGATGGGAAATGCATAATATTTGATATATAATTTAAGATACATAAAGTTATACTGGTACTATATTTTTTATTTTTAAGGAAAAGAGATTGGTTTAATTTTTTTAGATGAAATAATTAAGCATCTTAATTTAAAAATAAAAAAGAAAAAAGAAATAACAAAATATAATTTATTTGAAATATCTGTATTGGATTAAAAAATCATTTTTGATGTCTAATTTAAAGTTTTTTTTTTTTTTTTTTTTTTTTTTATGTTACCTTTTTTTTTTATGCATAAATTGTTCATGAGGATAGATTGGTCCAATTTATTAAATTGTAAAGTTAAAAAAGTCTCTTAAATGGTCAAAGGGTAATTTAGTCAATTTCTCATGTAAAGGGGTGTCTTTGTTTATTTTTAAACCTTCAAAGGGCGTCTTTGTCAAAAAATAGGTAAGTTTTATCTGAGTGTCTTTTTACCAAATTTCATGAGTGTGACTGTACTTTATTCATTTATATACTACTACTAACATAGCAGTAAGTTTGGGCCTGAATAATTTGTAGGCCCAACATGACCTAACTAATAGTAGTAACACCTAAAGTTTTACTCCAAGCCCATCTCTCGTTTAATATGCAAGTATAGAGTCTTTCTTTCCAAGCCCAGTACACCCACGCTTTGGAAGATAGCTCTCTCTCATCTGCTCTCATTTATTTTTCCTTCACCGTCGAGACGAACTTATTTTGGCCAGAAAAAATTCGAGCCAATTCAAGTCGAAATGAACACTCCTTTAGATTTGCCAATTTAAACATTCCAAAATTTAGTTAAGCTTGACTCGATTACAACCCTAACACAATGGATCAAAACAATTGTGGTCATTCATGTCACATAGAATTTTATTAGTTAAGTAATACTTTGATAATTCTGAAACTATCCACTATAATTAAAAAAAGAAGACTTAAGTCACACCATAAAATGACAAAATTTAAATCACACATAATGAAAATAAGAGCCATAGCATGTAAGAGTGTGGGAGCGAGAACAAGTTTGAAATGTAAAAGTGACACCCTTTAGAGGAATTGTATGACTTAGGTTATGACTTAGGCTAACTAGTGGGCGATAGCCTTACATCAGCATTTTATGGCTTTCACCGTTCGTGGCGCAACGCAAATCACCCAATATTTGCTGGGTTTTCTAAAACCATCGCAGATGCCCCCAGAAATAAGCAGTTGATCAATCTTGAAGCCACTACAATGGCAGCATCCTTATTTACTACAACCGCAGCAACTGGGTTTTCTAAAAATTCATACCTATCTTTTCCACCACCACCATTCTTCCCAACCGAAGCCAATAATATTTCTCCATCGTTAGTTTCTTTTAAACAAAGATGCAGATGCAGATCCATCACCACCGTTAAAGCCGCCGCCTCCTCCGCCACCGGTGGACTCTATTCCTCCAAAAAATTCGATCTCACAGCTGACAACGTCCACATCGTTCTAGACGATGTTCGCCCTTATTTGATCGCCGATGGTGGAAACGTCGACGTTGTATCTGTCGAGGACGGTGTCATCTCTTTGAAATTGCAAGGTTCCTCTTCATTCTTCCACTCCTCTGTTCCAATTGGATTTGAATTCAATTGATTCATTTTTTAATTTGGATTTGAATTGAATTGATTTCATTTTTTAGTTTGACTTGATGATCGGAACAATTAATGAGTTTTTACCATCTTTTATGATCTGGGTTTCTCCTAATTTTTTATATTTTTTTATACTTTTCAACAGCAAGAATAAGAATTTTATATATCAATATCAGCTAGTTAGAAATACATTTGTGTTGCGTTTGAGAGCACAGAATCAACACATGGGAATTGGAATTGGAAGATGTTTAGTTGAAATTTTAAATTGAGTTTCCTTCAATTCGATTGGGTGAGCCTAAATGTAGCTTTAGCAATCAGCACCTCTGGGAAATCCTCCTCCCAGATTCTATCACATTTCTACATTTTGCTAGCTTGACTACCTAAACAATGAGCAACCTCATTTACATTTCTAGGTATAAACACCAAATCAAATGACTCCTTTAGCTAAGGAAAGAATTTAATATCTTCAATAACAGTGGTCGTCAAACCGAACAGAGGAAGCTGTGCTTTCCTTCACTGCTTTAACCACTACTTCCGGATCTCCGTTGTTGCGCCACTACCAGGGACATGGCTTTCCTAATAACAAGCCCTTGGCCAACAGTTGTGTTTAATCTCTAATTACCATTCCCCCACCAGCCTCCAAAGAAATTGTTGAAAAGAGACGCATCAATATTAATTTTACCAGTTCCGACTGGAGATTTACACCATTTTAGAATAGTTCTAGGCACTGTTTGAGTCATCCATCTATCCAGCCTATTGGATGTCAAAATGTTGTCATAGGCATGAGGCATCCATATATTCCAAGTGCTGACCAGCTACCGAGTTTGCTATTTTAAGAGAATCCCACATTTGCTTGTTAAACACCCATTTTTTCTTGCTTTCTAGATTTGCCAACAAATAAAAGCAGCTATGCATTTGAGAGAGAACCCGTTATCGGCTTTGTCCCATATTCCCACACCTGAGCCCTCCACCAAGAATCCCATTGACCAAGAGGAACTTCAACACAGTTCAACCTCAAAACTGAGATCTTCCAAACAGTAGCTGCTCTAGGACACCGACATAAAAGGTGGCTCACAGATTCTGGTTAAAGGCCACACACTTGGCAGATATTATTGTCCACCAATTTCCTCTGATCCAAAGCTTCCAATACAGCGACCTTGTTATGTAAACAGCTCCGATGAAAACATTTTTCTTTCTCCCTTTATATGCATATATATATATATATATAGAAATATTTGTTTGTTTTTCCCTTTCCTTTGGTTGAACGAATGTTGTTATACTGAGACGAGTATTCCGTAAAACCAAATTTGTAAATTAGGTTATTATTTTTTATGCATACATGTATTGGTGCTGATCATTTGTTTTCTTGGACCAGTGAAATTTGGTGTGGTTGAATTGTGTTCTTCAGTAAAAGGAAAGTGTCATGACTCATGAGTTTGTAAATTTGTGGTTTCCTTGGCATCCATCCCTGATGTAATGCCTTGCCCAAGAAACTGTACTTAAATTTCTGTCATTTGGATGTCTTTGGCCTCATTGGTTGTGCTAAAAAATGTCTTAATGGAAGATCTTTTGAGGGAAAGGAATCCTCCATTGGGGTGTTAAAATTTTCTATCATTTGTAATTTGTTTTGTTGGGGTCAGGGGAGAGACTACTCCTCTCTTGAGGATATTGTTGATTTTATGAGCTCTTTGAGTTCATAGGCTCCGTTTTGTCTTTGTATAGTTTGGGACGCGTTCCCCTTTTAATACAATTTACTTATCAAAAAAAAAAAAAAAAAAAATGTCTTAAAACTCAACTAATAGGAGTCTTTTGCTACAGATGTGCTTGAAAGTTGAAATTTTCACGTCTTTAAGTTCCAATTTAGGGATTCAGGTTATCAAGTTTCTCTTTCCGTTTTTACCTTACCTTTATTAATGTTGATGTGGATAAGTAATTACATAAGCTACTCAAGGACTTGGTCTCGAAACATATAAACATATTCATCACACTAAGGTCTCTTGTAAGACCTAAACTGTTAAGATAACTTAGATGCTTAGAGCCCTCATATGATTGCTTTTAGAACATATACCTCACACCACATGTAGAAATTGGGACGGGGAAGAAGAATGCTAATAATTTATGACTATAGCAAAGTTCTTGCTTGAAACTACAGCAATAAGTATAACACAACATGCAGCCAAGGCGTCCAATGTCATCTATATGATAGAAGATTGTTAGTCAGGGCATTGCATAGTCCATGTAGAGATGAAAAATCATATTATAGCTATATGATGCTATGCAAGTTCTGAACTTCTGTCTACGATGAAAAACGTCAATTATTTGGTTTCAGATGAACTGAAAATTGTTGAACATGGAAAAATTCATGAAATATGGTGCCCAATCTGTTTTGGTAAATTTTTCCTCAAGCCGGTCCATAGTTTGGGCTCCTTGCCCCCAGACTCCTATAAAACCCTTTACCCTGTGATCTCTCTTGGGAATAAGTAGGAGGTATCCCTGGACTAACTACTTGTTCTAATCTATGATGGTTTCCAAAATACTCAGAGTGAAACATGTAATTACCGCTCATGTTTTATTTTCCATCTGCCCACGTGTACAATTGTACCTAGATGGAGCGTTGAATAGATATTGGGTGCGCCAGGCATACCATGTCATTGGTATGTCTACTCAATAAAAATGCACCATATCAGCTTCTTGACGGCATTTTTACATGTAAGGCAACTCTGTTTTATAACCGGACGCAGGCTAAACGGCCTTAACAGAGGTTCACCTTTGTTAACCCATGAAATTTGTCTCGCTTACAGGTAAAAAAAGGTTGACAAAAAGCTGATATGTTTTGTTTTCATTGGGTGGGCATACCAATGACGTGATATGCCTGGCGCAGCCAATATCTTCTCATGGAGTGTCATGGTTGAAGGATTGTGCATTAAAAATAAAGGAAGCATAAACATAAACAAGCAATTCTTAAATATGTGTGAACACCGTGTTTAAAATGTTAAAACTTTTAGATTACATCAATGACATTTTCTTTAACCTGTTATGGAGCTAGAAAAAATTCTCTCCCTTCTCAAACGCATAGGAAATGAAAGAGATGGAAATGATCTAGTTGATATGGCATGTGGTTCCAATTTCAATTGCCTATATTGCATGGACATTTTAGTATATCCTTAATATCTGTGCTAGACATGACACGACAAGTTTTGGAATTCTGTTCTAGTTTATTGGGACATGTCTCAAACAGAACAAATTAAAAAACATTTGGCGATGTTTTGATGGCCTTACAAAGCTATGATTGAGCTTGGTATTGCCATTGATGGGAGAACCGTAGCCCAGTAGAGCGAGAGGGAAGGAAAAGTACACATGCTCACTTTATTCGGAGTTCATAGGATGACTTCTGCATATGCTCCTTGTATCAACATGGATACTTTAGGATAATTTGAGTATCCATATTAAGAAACCATTTTGCATAGAGAACTTCATTAAGATAATGGTGAAGAAAATTGACCATGGTTATAAGTTGGATGTGTCCATATGCTCTTGATCTTATAGGGGTTGGGGGAATGTGATGCCTACAAGCTAAACAATCATCCACACTTGACACGCACGCTAAGTCAATGCACCACATATAGTTAATTGCCATGAATCGATTGTTCTTTTTGACCCAATTAAGGATCTTCAATGAATAAACAGGAGCATGTGGGAGTTGTCCTAGCTCAACAACCACAATGAAGATGGGGATCGAACGAGTGCTGAAGGAAAAATTTGGAGATGCAGTCAAGGATATTCGCCAAGTAGATGATGACCAAAAAAGTGAAACAACTATTGAGGTCAGTTTTTAACTAATGTCATTTGCTAAAACAAGAAAAACAATGTTAAATGACTTGACTCAGCACAATTGCAGGCAGTGAATGGTCATCTCGATATACTGAGACCAGCCATTAAGAACTATGGCGGGAGTGTGGAAGTACTATCTGTTGAGGGCGAGGATTGCCTTGTAAAGTATGTGGGTCCTGACTCCATTGGATCAGGAATCAAAGCAGCAATCAAGGAGAAATTCCCAGACATTGTAAATGTTGTGTTTACTGGCTAGGTAGAATAGAACAGAATGAAGTATGTAGATGTGCGTGTGTTTGCTTTTGTTTGCATTTGTAATAGAATAGGAAGTTCAAAAAGTTCAAATTCTGCTATTCCATTTGACATTTCCTCCACTGAATCATGACAATACTTGGCAATGTCAATTGTCATCACCATGAGAATTCCAAAGGGTGTGGTAGACTAACAAGATTATCTCTAATAAGACTGTCACTTTGTGTTTACTCTAGAGTCTAGGCGGTCACCAGGGAGCTGTTTACACTTGTAGACAAGATTTTAAGAAAATCTTGATCTTATAGAATTTAATTTGCTGGCGGTTTGAAAAGTGGGGTAGGTTAACAAGATTATCTGTGAGAAAACTGCAGATTAAACTTTTGTATCAATTAGAATCTATTTATTAAAAAATGATTGTACCATAATATTGGTATTTGCTTGAGGCACTGTACTTTAATCATCATTTATTGATGACGGAATGAAGTGTCTCACATTTTTTTCTGATAGCTAATATCATTTTTTTTTTTTTTTTTGGTTTATATTCCCAATCTTTTCTGCTTGTCAACATTCATATGGAATTAATGCAAGAATGATGATTATGATGATATATATATTTTCTGTCAACATTTTCTTTATGCAAATGATTATTTATAATTAGTTTAATGGGTCAATTCCATTGGACTTCCTGTCAAAATCGATACTTTGTATGTTGATATATCTTAGGGTTCAAAACCTGATAGTATGTCACCTAGCTTGGTGAGGCTTGGATTGGAAGGCATTCCTTTAAAAGGAACAACAATTACCTTCATCAGTTGCGACTCTCCAAAACTTGATGTATTTGGAGCTGGAAAACAATTTGACTTGCATTGATACCCCCGAACTGAGTTTCCATCAGAACTTGCACTGCTGAATCTAGCTTATAACAAGCTGACCTTGCCGGTACAGCTAGGTAATCTTTGGCAATCTTCAGGAGACGAAGCTTCAATTCAACTTGGTTGGAGAACTTCCAAGTCATATTACTCAAATTAAAAATATTGCAGAAACTCAATATCAGCTGGAATTTACTGGATTAACTGCAATAATCCAAAAACTGGGGAGGTAAGTGTAATAAACCCTAACAAGAGAGGAGGTAACTGTAATTTACCCTCATTATTTTTCCTTAAATTAGCTATATTCAACAATTGTGCAATTCTATACTCATGTAGCCTGTTCTTCTTTCCAAGTCATTTTTCAGTGAAGTGTGAACTCCATCTATATATATATATATATATATATTTGTACACCTCATCTTTGTAAAGGTCTTTTTCTTCTTCTTTTTTAGCGTAAATCATCTTTGTAGGTCCCTACAAAAAGACATGGTTTTAATCTTAGTATATATATATTTTTCTTAGTTGGTACTCACACATTACCGAGACTTGAACTCTTGATTTCCTTTTAGAAAGTAAAGCCCTAATACTGCTAGGTTACTGTCCCGTTGATAATCTTAGTCTTTCTTAGTGAAGAAATTTTAAACGTTACAACAATGCAAAGTAAAACTAATGTTAGTCTTGGTCTTTGGCAGTGATCAGTCAGGCGTACAACAACATGCTAAACACTAACCATTTTCGTTCTTTCTTACATCTTTCCCACAACTTTCCCTCCCCATGGCATTGCATACCCCAATCTCTCTCTCTCTCTCTCATCTCTTAAATTCCCTCCTTAATCTGTTCCTCTGCCTACCTGAAACATATATAATACTACTTTATACAATAAAAATTGCAGTTGTAGATTACTTTGGAGGGAAAGCTAAGATGATCAGGTATGTACCCATTAACTCTCTCCTCATGTTCTTGTCAATTCTTCAATTGGTGTTCTCTCAATTGCCTCCAACCCAGATAAACACCATGCTCAAACTCTCTGAGCTTCTCAAAAACAACTCATCTCCTGATTTTCCCTGGAAAATCAATCCAAATTCAGACCCATGTTTGTGGAAGGGGGTTTCGTGCGGTCCCAACAACTCCTCCATCACCCAACTTTCTATCTCTGGTTTTTCTCTTTCTGGCTCTGATTTTTGGCCTGTTCTTTGCCAAATTGATACCTTGCAGTCTATTGATCTGTCCAACAACCATTTGAATGAAATTCCAAATGGGTTCATTACAGGTTGTGGACAGATTGGTGGGTTAATGGTGTTGAATTTTAGTAGAAACAAATTGAGTGGTCGTTTGCCCACTTTTCAAGGTTTTGGTGTGTTGGAATTCTTGGACTTGTCTCATAATTCTTTGAATGGAAAGATTGATTTACAGTTTGATGGATTGGTTGGTCTCAAAAGTTTGAACCTTAGCTACAACCAATTCAGTGGTTCTGTTCCAGTAAAGCTTGGACAGTCCATGGTTTTGGAGGAGCTTCAGCTTTCTGTGAATAACTTCTCTGGTAATATCCCCATAGAAATATCAAGTTATAGGAATTTGAGTCTGGTTGATCTGAGTGCAAATAATCTTTCTGGGTCAATTCCTGATTCATTTAGAAACCTTACCAAGTTGAAGATTTTGATTCTATCTTCAAATTCTTTGAGTGGTGAAATCCCCCCAATCTTTTCAACTATCAAAACCCCGTACCGATTCGCAGCGAATCAGAATAATTTTAATGGTACACTTCCACCTGGTCTTACAATGTACCTCATTAAGTTAGACCTCAGTTACAATAAGTTGCATGGGTTGCTCCTGACGGACTTTCTGTCGAACTCAAATTTGCAGTTTTTGGATCTGTCCAACAATTCTTTGGACGGTCCAATACCTGAAAATATGTCACCAAACTTGGTGAGATTGAGATTGGGAAGCAATTCTTTTGATGGCGAAATACCGTCATCATTTGGTAGTCTCCAACAGTTGATGTATTTGGAGCTGGATAACAATAATTTGAGTGGATTGATACCTCCTCAGTTGGGTATGTGCCAGAAGTTGGTACTGTTGAATCTAGCTAATAACAACCTGACCGGTGCTTTGCCGGTACAGTTGGGTAATCTTAGCAATCTTCAGGAGATGAAGCTTCAATTCAACAAGTTGGATGGTGAAATTCCAAATCAAATTACTCAGTTACAAAAATTGCAGAAACTCAATATCAGCTGGAATTTACTGAGTGGTTCGATACCTCCTTCAATCTCAAACTTGCGGAGTCTCTTCAACTTGAATCTACAAGGCAACAATCTCAGTGGTCCAATACCCAATTCAATTGGCAACTTGAATTCTCTGTTGGAACTCCAACTTGGGATGAACAGATTAAGTGGGAATATCAAATCACTGCCAACAAATTTGCAAATTGCTTTGAATCTCAGCAACAACCTCTTTGAAGGACCTATCCCCCGCATTCTCTCTCAATTGACTGGATTAGAAGTTCTGGATCTCTCCAACAACAGCTTCTCTGGAGAGATTCCAGACTTTCTGACCGGAATGGCAGGCTTAACGCAGGTTTTACTGTCAAACAATCAACTGTCTGGAGTTGTACCGCAGTTCAAATCATATGTTGTGCTTGTTGCAACTGGGAATAAGGGTCTGACATACGCACCAGCAGCTGCACCGCAGTCTCCTCCACAATCACCAAAGAAGAAGAAAACAGTTTCTGTGGCGGTGGTTGTTGCAGTTGCAGCTGGTGTCCTCGCTGTTGGGGTAGTTGAGTTTATTGCTATATGGATCTCCAGAAGATGTCACAAGATTAATGATGAGCAATTAGAACCAGAACTTAACCCCAGGTAATTGAGGAAACCTGTCAAACTTTAAAACGGCGTAGTTCTAATTTGACCGGATTAGAAGTTCAGAATCTCTCCAACAACAGATTCTCAGGTGAGATTCCAGACTTTCTGACTGGAATGGCTGGCTGAACGCAGGTTCACAGGACAGTTACGTATGTAAGTTCAACTAAAAAAAAAGTTTTGTATGGCAATGGAAGTATTCTTCGTGTGCGTGTATATATATATATATATATATATATATATATATATGCATATACGTGTATTACAGTTGAGAACTTTCCTGGTTATCCACTCTGTCTCACACAGTTCAAAAACACTGAGATCTTCCAAACACTCCAAACAATAGCCTATTTGTGAGAATGAACCAGATGTAAATTCTTGTCTCGCTTGCGTGGGCTATTTTATTTTCTTGTCATTATTTTTTTCTTGTTCTCACAAATTTTTATTCAATCCTTATTCTGGTATAAATTCTTGTCTCGCTTGTGTGGGCTATTTTATTTTCTTGTCATTTATTGGAAGGAAATTAAAGAAATTTGAAGAATAAAGAGAGAAGAAAAAAAAAAAGTTAAGAGATCATTTTAAAATAAAAGCTTTAAGGTCAAAGTTTTCGTCAGCAAGAGCTTCGTGTTACGTCTGCCCCTTCTAAAAAGGGAAAAATTCAAGTCTTCATAAAACAAAATTTCATCTAATCTTATTTTTAAAACAATTTTGATTTAAGAACCATTTTGAAATGGATAACATGGTAGTGCTACTAGTGCATTAATTTTTATGGTCAAAGTATAATACTACTTTAAAAGAGAGCTCATAATAAAGAATATGAGTTGAATCTGTTGCCAACATTCATTCATTCCTCCCATATCTCATAAGACTATGGGTAACATGGCTTGCTCTTTCTTATTGAAAAATAACAATAATAATAATAATAATAAATAAATAAATTTAATGTGAGATAAGACAAGACTTTTAATATATATATATTTTTTTCGAATTTGCAAAGCTCTCGTTTTGATCGGACCACCCTTTTACTCATCATCTCTAACCTATCTAGTAAACCCAATAACGAACTGGATCCATACCTCCGAAATGGGCGCTTGGTGTGACACTATATTAAGGGGTCTGCTCTGATACCTATTGTAATGAGTTTTCTGACTTTAAGTTAAAGAATAATGCTAGATTAAGAAGCCTGCTCTGATATCTATTGTAATGGGTTGAGCGTTCGTATTCTGACTTTAGCTATTGAATAATACTGCATATTCGTTCTTTTGTATTTAATCCGACCTGAAACAAGACTCCTCGAACATTAATTTCTTCCAAATCAATTTGTGAATAATGGAAGATTCGAAGTGTTTGACCAAACCCCTTCCTCCAATTAAGTGAGTCTGAGTTAATGACTGAGTTCCACAAATACACTTGAAGGATTATTGGCACTTGCTTGACTTGAGAGGTTTCCAAGTAATTTTAATTCTACGCGTTTGATTGACCTTCTTTGTGCAACCCATCTGTGTGTGCATATAGACACGCACATCTTTGTCGAGGTCTTCGCTTCCGTAAATCATCTTTGTGATGGTCCCCTACAAAAAGACTTGGAGGCTTAAATACTTGAAAGAAAGGGCCCACTGTGAGTCTGTGACCATGACCAAGTCATTTTTTTTTTTTTTTCATAATTGATAGTCAAATTTGAACTCTTAAAAATAAGTGTCTGACACTCTAAATCACTATCTGTTGATACCATGACCATATCTCGGTCAATTTTTTTTTTTTTTACATTTTTAACAATCCAAACCAACACTGTTGTTAGTCTAGTCTTTGGCAGGTCAACAAACACTAGCACTTTTTTTTTTTTTTTTTTTTATATGAAAAAAAATAATAAAAAAAAACCCTCACAGATTTCCTACCCCATGGCATTTACGTATCTCCAATCTCTCTGTGTCTCTCTCCACCCTTCTATTCCCTCCTCCATTTGAGTAGATATTGATTCAACAAAGCATACCAATTTATTGATAATGCTCAAAAGTAAAAATGTACCATATCAAGGTATATTTCAAGGTACCAGTTTTTAAGAGTAGAAAATAGAACCAGTTTTATTTCAAGGTATATTTTCATTAGTGAACATTACGGATAACTAGTATGTCTAGCTTACTCAATATCTTCTGAATCAATGTGTTCCTCCACCTTCCTTTTTCCTTCTTCCTTCTTCTGCCCACTTGAAGCAAATAGAGAATATATATATGTGTGTTTGTGTGTGTGATGCATATATAATACTCTGTACAATAAAAATTGCAGCTGTAGATTAATATGAGCAGGTACATTAACTCTCTCCTCTTGTTCTTGTTCTTGGCAATCCTTGAGTTGGTGTTCTCTAAACTGCCTCCAAACCAGATAACCAACATGGTCAAACTCTCTGAGCTTCTCAGAAACAACTTAGCTTCTGATTTTCCATGGAATAATAAAACAAATTCAAACCCATGTTTGTGGAAGGGAGTTTTGTGCAACTCCACATCCTCCTCCATCACCAAAGTTTTTCTCTCTGGTTTCTCTCTCTCTACCTCTCATTTTCTGCCTGTTCTTTGCCAGATTGATACGTTGCGGTCCATTTATCTCTCCAACAACCATTTGAGCGAAATCCCAAATGGGTTCATGATAGGTTGTGGAGAGATTGGTGGGTCAAAGCTGTTGAATTTCAGTATGAACAAATTGAGTAGTCCTTTGCCCACTTTTCATGGTTTTGGTATGTTGGAGTTCTTGGACTTGTCCCATAATTTTCTGGATGGCGAGATTCATTTACAGTTAGATGGATTGGTTGGACTCAAAAGTTTAAACCTTAGCCACAACCAATTCAGTGGTTCTGTTCCTGAACTAGCAAGTTGTAGGAATTTGAGTCAGGTTGATCTTAGTGCAAATAGGCTTTCTGGGTCAGTTCCTGAAACATTTAGCCAGCTTTCCGAGCTGGAGATTTTGAATCTACAAGGCAACAATCTTAGCGGTCGAATACCCGATTCGATTGGCAACTTGAATTCCCTATTGGAACTCCAAGTTGGGATGAACAGATTAATTGGGAATATCACATCACTGCCAACAAATTTGCAAATTGGTTTGAATCTCAGCAACCACCTCTTTGAAGGACCTATCCCCCACACACTTTCTCAATTGAAGGATTAGAAGTTCTGGATCTCTCCAACAACAGCTTCTCTGGAGAGATTCCACGATTTCTGACCGGAATGGCAGGCTTAAAGCAGGTTTTACTGTCGAACAATCAACTGTCTGTAGTCGTGCCGAAGTTCGAAACATATGTTGTTGTTGTTACAAATGGGAATAAGGGTCTGATATATCCACCAGCAGCAGCACTGCAGTCTCCTCCAGCATCACCAAAGAAGGAAACAGTTTCTGTGGCGGTGGTTGTTGTAGCTGGTGTCTTCACTGTTGGGGTAGTTGAGGTTATTGCTCTATCGGTCTACAAACGATGTTACAGGATCAATGATGAGCAATTAGAACCAGAAGAGGGCCTTGCTTAACCCCAGTTTATTGAGGGCAACCTGTTAACTATAAACGGCATAGTTCAAATTTGGCAGGATTAGAAGTTCCAGATTCTCTGGTGAGATTCCAGACTTTCTGTTGGCACCAAAACTTGGCAGTCACTTCAGCAGCGACGTGGACCAATGGGAAGCCGATAAGGGTTGAGCATGTCCAAGAATGGATCGGCCAGTTTGAAGATATTAGGAGCAAATATAGAAAGATATATTTCAGCCACCTAATGATATGGAAGTTGCTGAAATATAGCAACTCACATTTGACCTTTTTCAAAATGGGATGTTAACAGAAAAGGAAAAGGGTAGAGTTTGGATGAAACTCAATAACTAAATTCCTATAAAATAGGAAGTTTAGTTTGATGAAAGAAGGAAAGCTTTGAAGACATGTATAGAAGATTGGCAGCATGAAGTGAACAAATCTAATTGTGACAAGTGGCCTTGACATGGCGCTAAAGGATGGGCCACTTGGGATAGAACACGGCTGCCAAGTTTTTAAAAAGAAGTTGCTAGAACTTAACAACTTTTCAGCAACTTTCTAGCAACGTTTTAGCAATATCTCGGCAACTTACATGTGATTAAATCGAGGAAGGTTGTTTTTACAGAGATTTCCTACTGAAACAAAACAAGAAAGGAAGCAGAATAACAATAGGATTTGACTGAGTTCAAATTGTGAAGAAAAGAATCAAAGAAGGAGAGATTTTCTAACAATAACTTAGGAAAATAAGTTGAGATAGAACTTCTATAAATAGAAGTATTGTATTCCTATTCCAACTTGTCCAGCACCACCACAAAACATGCATTTCAACTAAAAATGTTTTCAATTGACTCTACGTCATTTTTTCCTATCAATTTCTTTATTTCAATTTAATGGCAATCGATTAGATCATTGTCAACTATTTCAATTCAGCCATTTACTTTCTTTCAATTTCAATTATGCCAATTTTAACTACGCAATTTTAGTTCGGCTTTCAATTCAATGGCAATTGATTAAATTCTTGCCATTGAATCGTAGTGACAATTGATTAAATTCTTGTCATTACTTGGCTGATGGCAATTGATTAAATTCTTGCTATCACGTTTCAGTGGCGATCGATTAAATTCTTGCCATTGTGTTTGGCTGATGGCGATTGATTAAGTTCTCGCCATCACGTTCGGCCGGCGATCGATTAAGTTCTTGCCGCCTGTCTTCACTCGGCCATTCCATCCATTCGAACATTCATCAGCCGTTGCATTTCTTTAGATACTCAAAAAAGTCCTTGCTACAAACAAGGCATAAAAGAACCTTGCTGGGAGTTCTTACTAGTCTCTCTCCCACACAATCGCCTGAGAGTCAGCCATCGGAAAAAGGGATAGGCTGGTGTTCAATAACATATTTTGGGTATTTTGTACAAATACTCTGGCACGCCCGCGAAGAGTCCATCGACCGGCGTAGGGAACAAAAACCGCGCGAACACGTTTTGGCACGCCCGGTGGGACCGCTACTAGAGTGTTATAAAAGAGGCAAATATGCCGCGGCCCACAAAAAATTCTAAGGCCGTGGCTACTGATGAAGATTTGGAGGAAGACGATTAGCCAGTACAGGCTGAGAACTCTGCAGCAGGTCCTACTGATGAGTTAGCCGTACTTCAAGCACAGGTTAGCTCCTTGGTAGATGCAATGGGAAGGATGGGAGCACGCTACAACGACTTGCATGAAAATATGTCCCAACTCTTAGCCTTTATTTTGAACAAGCCGACTCAAGCTAGCAGCTCCAACAATCAGGAATTGGCTTCTCAGCCGAATCTATCACAAGCTGCTCGGCCAGAGAGGGCCGTTGAAACATCACAGCCATGGCCGCCAGTAGTGACACTCCAACCAGTTGCAACATCAAGTCAGCCGGTTCATACGCTACTCACCTGGGCAGAAAGCTATCCTCAGCCTACGTTGGCAGGTTCTAATCAGCCACCGGTAGTAGGTTCGCAGCCACAGGTAATTCTACCAAACCCTCATCGGATGCCTTTGAACTCGGGGGGCAATCAGATCAGGTGGAGGCCACCGAACCCACTGTATACTCATGTGCCGCCACAGGTAAGGCTCGGGGGGCAGAATATGGTTAATTAGCCACATGATTGGCCGAATTGCTATCAACCAGCGGCTAATCAGCCGCCAGTTTTTAATCAGGTACCACCAATATTAAATCAGCCACCTCAAGTCATGTTAGATAGAAGACAATTAGCTGATTTACTCACAGAAGAATATGGCCTGGAACTTAGAGGTGCCGGCCGACCAATTTATAGAACTCCTTATCCAGAAGTGGTAGACCAAGTTGAGTTCCCTAGAGGATATAAAGTCCTTGACTTTGTAACCTTTAGTGGAGAGGGGACTCAATCGACCGTGGAACACATTGGCCGATTCACGGTTCAATGTGGAGAGGCCAGTGTTAGCCCGTGGTTGAAATTGAGACTTTTTCCTAACTCTTTGACAGGGGCGGCTTTTTCATGGTATATTCGTCTACCTCCTAACTCTATTTTTAATTGGCCACAGATGGAGGAATTATTCCACAATCAGTTCTACTGTACGGAGACAGAACCTACTCTGGCCGATTTATCCAGGCTAAGTCAATTGCCTAGTGAATCGGTCGAGACATTCATTGCAAGATTCAGGAGAGCAAGATTAAGATGTCGTGTACCTCTTCCAGAACAGGAGTACATTCGTTTGGCTTTGAACGGCCTTGATTTTGAACTTCGGAAGAGGTTTGAAGGAGTTCCATTTCGTGACATGTATGACTTGGCCGAGAAAGCTACCAGGTATGAGTTAGTTCTCAAAGAGGAGAAAGAACGAAAAAATTCCTCTAAAGGTACGTACTATAGGGACCCCAACTATGAAGTTTATTCAACTGATATGGTCGAAGAGGAAGATTTTGAAGCTAATTTGGCCGAAGTCATTCTAAAGAAACCTTATGTATGTGATGCTTTAACAAAACCAAATGTATCCACCAGTGGTACTCAGCCATCGACTTCATCGGCCAGGAAGGGTACGGCTGATACTGGTAAGGTTTATACGTTTGATCTGGCCAAAACAGAACAAATTTTTGATCATTTGTTGGCCGACAAACAAATCGTTCTGCCAAAAGGACACAATATACCATCTACCAATGATTTAAAAGGAAGAGAGTTCTGCAAATTTCATAATTCATGGAATCATACTACTAACAATTGTTATGTATTTAGAAATGTATTGCAAAAATCTATCGATGAAGGTGTATTGAAATTCCCTGAAAAGAAGCCAGATGTAATGGGGGTCGATGGCGATCCATTTCCTAATATTGTCAGTACCAATGTAATCAGCCTGGCAACTGAAAAAGCCGCTGATAATGGTAGACAGGAAAGATTACCAAAAGTTCTTGGTAGTTCATCGGCCAGTAATGATGAACAGAAAGTTAAGGACTTGGAATTTAAGTTAAGAGAAGCTCAAATTGCCCTCATCAATCATGGTTGTTGTCCAAATTGCAAAGGCCGAAGGAATGACTCAGACAAGAGGGGCTATTTCCAATCAACTAGAAAGCGCAGTGTCCATAAAAGGTTAGGCCATCAGCCTAGACAGAATCATAAAGAAATCAATCGATCAATATTTAGAGAAAATGGGCCGAGGGCAGTGAGAATCATTCGGTCATCGGTGGCCGATAGAGTCCTGCCAAAACAACATTTTTATCCTAGTTTCAAAAGGAAACCAACAATTCAGTCAGAAATATGGGTTCAAAAAGGAGAAGAATCTAGCCGTGTAAGAACGGTTAGACCTCCTTTGGTTGACCATGGCAGATGGACTCGAGTAAGTCACCCAAAGTTTCCTAAGTAGCCTCCTACACGTACCCAAAAAAGGAGGATGCAAAGGAAAAATGCAGAACTCAAAAGGAAAGAAGACAAGATCGACCATGATCAACTAGAAAGAAAAAATGAACCAGTGGTGGCTGAAGACATGGAGGTCGCTACATCATTTGAGAATAAGGCATGCTTTTATGAAGAAAAAGATGATCAGCCCGACCAGGATCCAAAGCATGCGGCCAAGTACAGAATTCGTTTTGGTTCTCTCCCGGATAAGGTAAATTGTAACATGGTATTTGTTTTGCCTTCTGTGTTTGAAGCAAGGATATAACCAACGGTGAACAGGGATGTTGAGTCAGCCAAGTAGGAGGAAAAGGCTGAATCTTCAGAAATTAAGAACGATTCGACAAGTTCATCGGCCGGGATAGGATTGATCACTCAGGATCAGCCATCTAAGGCCGATAAAATCATTTTTGAAAAACCACCTTTGTCCATGACACAGCAGTTGAGGCCGTTGTATGTTAAAGTATGGGTTGAGGGTCAGCCAATCAATAGGGTTTTGGTTGACAATGGTTCGGTGGTGAATGTCATTCCATCAACTACTTTGAAGAAATTGGGTAAAACCATGGATGATGTAGTTCCAACCGACGTGGCCATCAGTGGTTTTAATGGAGGATCTAGTAACACCAAAGGTATTCTACCTTTGGAAATTACTATTGGCGGTAAGACATCCTTTACGGCTTTCTTTATCATTGATTCAACCGCGGCCTATAATCTCCTTTTAGGCCGAGATTGGATTCATCCTAACATGTGCATCCCATCAACCTTGCATCAAATGTTGATTTTTTGGGATGGAAATGAGGTAAAAATTGTTGAGGCCGATAACAAACCCTTTATAGCTAGGGTGTATTCGGCTGAGGCTGCACTTTATGATGAAACTGTTGTACCTATCAAATTTGTTGGCATTAACAGGATGGGACGACCAGCAGCGGCAACAATGAAGAAGAATTTAATTAATGCTGATATTAAAGAATTATTGTCAGAAGCAGCTCGGCCGAAAATTGATATTTTCAGGTCGACCATCAAGGATATTGAAGATGTTACTGATGGATCACAAAACCAATGAAGAAAAGAAGCGGCAAGCTTTCAGGGCCGCTTGCATCAGACTGAAAGCATATCTGGCTG